AGTTAGTACTACTACCTCCTCTCTCTCTCTCTCTCTCTCTCTATCTCTCTCTCTCTCTCTCTCTCTATATATATATATGAAAGAGGACATAAAAGAAGAGGGCAAGGAAGCACATAAGAGGACGCAATGGTGCTAATGCAGGTGGATGGAAAAAGAGGACAAGGGAGTTTGTGTGATAGGGCAGCAGGACAAGGGAAAAAGAGGAAAGCGAAGACAAGTCTCTCACAGCACCACTCGTTCTCTGTACCATTCCATGCTCCTATTCACAAAAAGTTGTGGCGACGAGACTTCCTCGTGAAAGAAACCCAAAATAAAGCTCGTCTTCCCCAAGCTCACAAGGCATCCATCACTCTCCCTATCCCACCAACTAGTGGGAAGAGACAAAATGCCTTACAGTCGGTCACCGAGAGTTGGTCCTCAAAACCCCTACTGTTCATTCATGTACTTAGTACTAAAGATAAGCACACAAGAAGGTGGTCATTCGAAGAACAAAGGACACCATTAAGGCTCTTCTACTCCTCATCTTCTGTACTTAAACCATTTGACTTTATAACTCTCCTTTTTATGGCGTTTTTCTTCAAGCTTTACTGGTTTGTGCAATGGTGTTCTTCTGTCTTTGAGAAGTAGAATGATATATATATATATATAAGAGAGAGAGAGAGAGAGAGAGAGAGAGAGAGAGAGCATTAATTTGAAGTGATAACAGTGCAAAGCAAGCAACTAGAAAACAATCTAGCCAATGTCATCGAATCTGTAATCAAAATCCATCATCAAGTAAACTTATATATATGTATACATATAGGATTAAAGAGATGAAGAGGAGAGATGGGAGTTTGGTAAACGAAATAAAGATGATCTTTAATTATAAAGCATTACATCATTATAATTTTCTACATATATAGTGATTGGGTGACACATTCTAGAGATCAAAGGTCATATATCTATTTAAAGGTTCATACACCTTTTCATACACCTTTCTCTTTATATAAAGAGAAAGAGAGACTAATGAAGGATGAGAGGTTAGTGTTGATTTATGTTTCTCAAATATGAATGACGTCTGACATGTAATATCCAAATATGAGTAGAACTTGACAAGATTACAGTAAAATGATAGGATGTGCAGCAACAGATTGTACCATAAAAACATGTCTTCATGATATATTGATCAATGGAACAACTTTGATTCTTAGACAAGTAGTTGCATCATGTTCCAAGGCATTCATTTGTACTGAATAATGACGAACAATTAACTCACTTCTTGGTTTTTCATCTACACTAGCAAGATGCTCATCATGAAACTAAGGAGAACTACTCTTACTGCTTCCTCTTCAAGATTAATCTAAAAGCTTCTGAAGAACAAGAGCAATATGAGCTCTCCACATGACTGTATGTCTAAAGAATGATTTCATAGACAATTTAAGCAATATAAGCCACTTCAAATTAATCTAAATAAATAGTTTTCGGCAAGGGAAAGAAACGCTTTCATATGTCTCATGTTGAGTTCATAAGAAAACAAGATGAAGTCAAGAACATGTGGTATTCTTTGAATTCACATAATAAAGATCTTGGGATTAAAAGAAAGACAATCTTCCAGCAGGTGATCATAGGCTAATGAGTGCAAACTTTTTAGACTGCTGTCAGATGAGGGGGAGGGGATAAAAAAGAAGTAAAAGGAAACAAAAAGAAGGCAATGGGAAGAGAGCTGGTCAAACCCACATCATTACACCAATCTGCTGCACCACCTGTTGGTTCCATTAATTGACCTCCTGTTACCATTTGGTGAGGAGGTGTAGTAAATCCTCGTGTGTTTGTGTGTGTGATAGAGAGAGAGAGAGAGGGAGAAGTAAATCACAACCTGACCAAGAAGCAAAGAGGGAATCAAAACCAGATCTGAGATAGGAATACACATTACCACTGAGTTGGTGGAGATGGAAGCTGCGATTGGGGGGAATGAAGCCTGGTCCGAGGTCTCTTCCACAGTTGTCCCGAACCAGACAACATTCCCCTCAAAGGAAAAGCTTCCTGTTTAGACATGGCTTCACTCAGCGTGAGAGAAAAGAAGGAGAAGGGGAAGGTCTGAACAATAGGTGATGGGGAAGAGGATCAAAAATATATAGAGCTAAGGGTTTGGGATAAGACCACGCGACCTCATGAAAGCCTCTTTCCCTTACCCCTCCCCCCCCGGCCTCTTTTTCTCTCTCCTTTTTGGGTGATCGACATCCCTTGCTTGGTCCATGGCTCGGTGCAGGCTTCCACCCACAGTTTAGTTGGATGTGGACGTCTGCAGCTGATGAGAATGGAGAGACCAAACCCAGAGAGAGGGCAGCTGCGCGTCCTGGAAAAGGAACAAGTGCTTGCCCACTCAAACCCTCCGGCATCTTCTTCTGTTCCTGTTATTATCATGCGGTAGTT